GAGATTGGTAAATAAACAGTGAAAAAGTCAATGTAGGTACTTTTTAAAGAATGTCAGCCCCTCTCACTGCCACCGTGTCTCACTGTCTTTGCTCATCATTGTACTTTAAAACTTAGAGGATAGAGAAAGTGACATGCAGTGAACACCAGGAGTTGACACAGGCTGTTACATAAAGTCATGTAAACAGCATCCTGCCCTCTCTTCCACCTCTGCACTCCTCCCAGATTCTGTTTGCCTGAGAACCCATTTCTGGAATCCACTTCACCTCTTCAACTAAATTCCCAAAATCAGACCCACTGAAGCATCTTCTTCAGTCACAGGGATATCTTTATTTATTTATATTTCCATTGGACTGTCTATGTTTTATTCATCTCATTTTCACCGTGCGGTTAAGATTTTTTTCCCCCCACCTCTTCTCTCTCAACTTCATTTTTCTCACACAGGAGAGAACTATTGCTTGTTCAGGCGAGCGTGAACACATGTCGGCAGTGGTTGCCTGTGCTTGCAGAAGGATCCATCCTCACGCTTTCTTGGTTAAATTGAAGAGAACGCTCTCACTCCATCCAGTTTAACCCGAGTGGTAAAGCCTTGTGGCAAAGCTGACTGCACCTCCACTCCCCAAAGCAGCTCGGTGCCACGGCTCGGACAAAGGGGGATGAAAGTTAGCACAGCGAGGCCATAAGTGGAATCACCAAAAGGTTCACATACTGGCTGACCCCGAGCTGATCTGATATTATCCTTCACAGCTGATCCTACTAATGGGGCAGGAATTATGCATTGTCTCTGACTCAGTCCGGCCCCCATCTCACAAAGATTAGCGCTGCTGTGTGGGAGAGTCAAGGTTGAAAAATATCTAATCAAGTTTCAATGATTATTCAAGTGAGTAAACAAATTAATTCTGTAGTGAATGTGCTGCTTCACTGAAAGAAATGTTCCCACATGCCACATAACTGAACTGCCGCGAAGAAAACAGACACCTTTTTTTTTCTGAGGTGATAATGACATAATTGTAAGGCCATCCTGACAATACGGCCATTCATCACGTCTTATTATACGCTGGAGAGAAATTTAAGATGGCAGCATCGATTTGTTTCGAGCACAAAAACAGAGTGCGATGGTGGAAAAGCTGATTATCTTAATGAAAGACTGATTTTGCTCTCTTAAGTTGGGGAGGATCTTTGAGGTTTAACCACATCATTCAGCCCTCTTCCTGCGGCTTTGTCAGCTGCAATACTTTACAGGAGTCACTGTTTGACTGGCAGTCCTATTAGACGGTTAAAAGCTGCGGAGAATGAATCGTCAAAATAGCTTTCATTGTGAGGGTGTTTAATTGTCTCTATTTTTTAACATGGCCTCTGATGCCCGCTAGTAATTAGCTGATTAATCAGATCTGACAACTTGTCAACTTTCTCTCAGGAGATTTCTGAACTGAATGTGAATGAGGAGGTATTTGCTAAGAGGAGGCCCATTACATGAAGCCATAGATCCCCCCCCACCCCCCTTCTTTTTCCTCAGACTTCCTCTTTCACCTCTTTTTTCAGAGAGCGAGGATTGATTAAAACAGGAGAGTGGTTCATTAGAATCTGACAAGCGACACCATATCTGCAGAACACATGTCCTTGGAGAAAGCCATCTTAGCCCATGTGACTTACCGTAGTCGATGCCATCTCCACAGCAAACACTATCCCCAAACTAATTGAAACAAGGTGCTCTGTGGCCCCGCTATCTGTCGAGGTGACAGTTATGCAGCCCCTGCAAATCCGTCCATGAAAACTGAGGAGCTTGATTAAAAATGCACCTTCCTTAAGTGCTCCATCAGTGTTGTTTCCCAGTGTGAGAAAATAGCTTTTCTGTGATACAAACAAGTTGTCACGGACATTTTATCTTCCTGACACTGGAAGCAGGGTTGTCTCGTTGGCAGGTGTATATTGCTGTGTCAATCTAAAAATCAACTTCAAAATTAAAACAAAAAGCGCTACTGCCAAACCCATGCATAATGCAACTAGTAGTAGTGCGTTGGATATATCTAGGTCTTGATAGTGACAGAACTATGTACAATGGCGGTACTGTCTTAAGTGTCATATTTGTCATTGCTGTGATACAGTTTACTGCAGGCTAAAAAAGGCCAGCTATGATGCCTGAGTTATTGACTCTAGAAAATCTGTGGAATGTCTCTAAATCCAAAACCATTACATTCAGAAGGAAAAGAAAAAAACGAAATTATTATCTATAAATGATCAGCTCTGGTAGCTCTGTGAGCTGTTGAACAAATGTACTGCAGCTATTGGCTTGGTCACCTTCCTTTTCTGCAGAGAACACTTAGCTAGCATTACTGAGGCCCAATGCTGCAGCCTTGAACAGCAGCCAGCAGTGGGCTCTCTCACCTGCCATGTCTCAGCTGGGCCTGTCTGAGGCTGTTGGGAGGCACAAAGATGCTCTTTGAAGTTAATGAAGCATCAGCATACTCCTTTACCTCCACCACTGGGTCATTATGCACAGCCAATGTCAAGGCAGCACAGAGTACTTCAAAGAATTAGAGGGGAATGCCGTGCCCACCCTCAAGTTCACCTCTAACAGTCTTCGTGTCATCATAACGGATACAAACTCTACCACAAACTGATCTGCATCTACAGAAATGTCTTCTAAACACAATTTCTTTTACACATGTCCTTAAAGCTTAATGGTGTTCCGTGGGAGTGCGGGAGATTATGCTGACAGGCCCACATTAAGACAGGAATAGGCTAGCATTTCACAACATCAGCAAAGAGCATTGTATGATCCCTCTGTAATGTATCCATGTTGCACCTGCATGAGACACAAAGACAGGACAGCTCTGTCGCTGCTGGTCCACGCTGCTGCACTCCTCTCTGCAACCTAAAGCACCGAACCAGACTAATGTGTGACAGTCAACTATAGCTTGTTTGTGAGCCTCTACAATTTGACTTGGCGCCATCTTGGAACTGAGGCTCTGAACTGAGCTTTAGGAGGGGAGGCTGGCTCCTCTCCCTTTAACTTGTCACTGTTACTATGGAAACTGGCAACATGCTTTTAAGGCTTGTATGGGACCCTTTGGGAGTGTATCCTAAACAGAAATTCAGAACTTCTGCTGTCTAACAGTATACAACAACACTTGCAGCCAGCTTAGATTACTACAGAGGATACAGACCAACAAATGCCTTGTGACATTTAATATTCAGGATATGTGTGTCGTGACGGCATTTGGTATAAATCCAAATATCAAGGATGGAGCTCTTTCAGCGAAAAGGGAAAGTGGCAATCGAGTTTTTAAGTAAAAATAGTGTGTTAAATGTGTAATCATAGGTCCCTGAATGATATGTAATTATTAAGTGTGTTAATTTCTTTAAATGTGGAGAGTGATAGGATGTAACAGCTACCTCCAGCTGAGAACTGAGAAGAGAGTGTTTTCACATCTTCCGAATCAATCATTACATTTCCTGTAACCCGCTGCTAAACAATCTGCAAATCTTTGCATGGCTCGACATGTTTTAAAAGGACAGAAACAACAGCAAAAAAAATGCTTGGAATCAAATTTTGTATGCAGACAAATTGAAACTGAATGCGCTCACATTATGTACCCACGCATTGTTCAGCTCACTCACTGTATAAAATTATACGGACAAATGATGAGAATAAACAGAAAGACTACAGGGACAATAGCAATGCGGTTTGTTAATTTAAGCAATCAATGAAAAAGCAGAAATAGAAAATGACTTCGGTGCCTTTGTTTTGGCTTTCCAAAGGGATACAGTACTTTATGCCAAACAGAACAGTCTCTTTGGAACACAATTACTCAATACAAACTGGTGCAGGGTGATTTCCTGATAGTAGATTACTTCCTCACTTTCCTGTTTGATAAGTAAGGGTTGCTCATGCTTCTTTGAAATTTCTATCATCACACTACTAACCCGCCTACTCTGGATGGGCAAGTTCTCACAATGCACATTATGACATCACATCCTGCAAAGCTGCTTTGTCCTAGCCTTACCCTTACAGTAGAGAATAACACACTGAAAGAGAGGAAGCAGAAAAAAAAAGGTATGCAATGATACTGTAAGGCACAGCTGTTCACTTCACACCAAGCACAGCGCTCCCAGAGACACAACATGAGTCAACATGCAAAGCAATGCAAGTTAGAACACCCCCGCTTCCCAGAAACCAAGGAGCACAAAAGGGAAAAGTCTTTCCAGTCCGACCAGAGCAAAACTGTGACAGTCTCCCAATACCACACACACAGCTGGTACCAATAGAAGAAGATTCCCACATTTGTAGTACGTATAGCAAAGTCAGATCTATTATATGCTGTAGCAAAGGCTTTGAGTGCAAAATATCGTCTCCTATGGATAAGAACCCAGAGGAACCACAGTGCGTGTGTGCCAACAATTATGTGGAAGGCAAGGGAACTGAATCAGTTTTGTTCAGCATTTTGTTTTCCCCAGAAGACAGAAGAGAAAAAAAAGAACGAACGCAGAGCTCAACTACAAAAGAGACACGGGCTGTTCGGAGAAATGTGAGCGTGATGCGAGCAAACTATGATCAATACAGTACCCTCACCTCAAACCCCCATTTTCCTTGATGTTATTTTAGGCGCCGATAACAGACCTGCTTTATATCGCTCCCACACATGGGATGCGTAACAGGGCAGGGTGAGAGGAGGCGTCTGTTGTGTTCTCACAGTGTGTGTGGAGCTCTGATACACAAACACAGAGGCTTCTATTTTTTTTTTTCCCCCTCATCTAACCTTCCACACAGTGCAGCAGGGAGCCGCACAGCCAGGGCAGGTGGGAACTGCATTGAAAACACACAGGCAATCTGCTACAATCAGCTGGTCTGTGCGTGTGCATGGATATTTGTGTTTATTTGAGTGGATGGGGGTCTGATGGTCCCTGACAACATTTTTAGTGGGGTACTGCATTGATGTAAGCCATGCCAGAGTTACTGAAGAGACAGAGAAACGGAAGCGACCGCCTTCGTCAACCTACCTGTGATGTTGACGTCCACAATGCCAGTGCGAGTCCCGATTCCGTTGGTGGCGTCACAGACGTACGTGCCGGCCAGGTCGTAAGTCACCGGCCCCTTGAAGAACAGGGTGTTGTTCTTGATCTCCACATTACTGGGCAGGGAGCCGTTCAAGCTGTGGTGAGAGAGAGAGGCAATAATACAGACACCATAAAAAGGGAGAATTACACCAGACCACAGTAGAAAAAAAAAAAAAAACCCTCTCCCAGGAGCGGCAAAGCAATTCAAAGTCCCTGAAAAATACAGTCTCTAGTGCCAAACAAACCTGGATGTGTGTGTCGGGGTGACATAAATACCAGGAATATTTGACAGCGATATATTTCAGCCATCATCCATCAAGTCCAAACTAAATTATGAGGACAGGGAATCCCAGCAGGTCCAAACAGGTAACACATAGTTGATGCCTGAGGACACAGGATTTTTTGGCACGAGGAATAGAAAACAGACACTGGTAGGAGGAGGGTAGGGGTACTGAGGGGGGCTTCTTTCCTCAGCTATGGCAGAGCTCACATGGCTGAACTCAAAACTCGGGGGAGCTGTCAAGAGAGGCAGCTGATCAAGCGATAAATGCAGAATCTACCAAATGCTGGGCTGTCAATGAGAACTGGAGCCTGTTTCTCCTGCCTGAGGTGTTTGTCTTCATGGTTCACTATCTCTACTGCGTTCAGACTTGCTTGCGTCCTTTGATCAGGTCAGCACACTTTGAGGTTACGGATCATGAGTGCACCAACCTTTCATTCTATTATCTGGACCCTTTTTATGGAGCCCAGAGGCTGAAAAGGGTATCAAATTTCATGACAATTAGCCGTTTCCTGTTGGCTTCCCCTTGATCAGCTTCATCAGCTGCTCTGAATGGATCTAACTTAAGTACGACTACAAATACGACTGACAATATTAAACAGCACTCTGGTCTGACTGTGGCGAGCTGGACGTGAAAGTTTTGGTTTCCTTGAACAAAAAGGAGGTTGCAAAGAGTTTCCTCCCACACTCCTGGACTCGCTCTCTGTTGGAGACACACCTTGAGATCCGCCGTTGTGCGAGATCATTCAAAACAATGCAATGCTCCATTTATTACATCGAGAGAAAAACAAAATGACATTACAGAGAGGCAACAAAATTAGGTCTCATACTAACAATGGCCACGCATCAAGCACTTGAGCAGCACTAAACAGGCTTTCAACTAGGCTCTTCAATGACGAGGGGAAAGACACAGTGACACGCTATTTGTTAATTAATTTATCATAAAGTGTCAATTACAAGCAGCTGATCCATATGTGGTTAAATGCTTTTCATAGAGCAGATCTTCAGGCCAAGTCGGTATAAAAAGCACTCTTCTCTTTCTTCTTAGCAATAAAGTGGCCACAGTTCAGAACAAAAGTAATAGAAAGAGCTATGGTCGAGTTGTTTTTCATATGCCACTATGGCGGCGCGTTTGCAATGGAGCTGCAAACAACCTTCAATACAGTATGTCACGATTCAATAATCAGTTACCTTGTGAGCCTCTATCAAATGCTGAGTTCTGCAAAGCCCAATTGATTTGCTGCAGAAATGAAAAGGCTGGCAAACTGCGATTGACCACAGATTCTGCCGCCATGTCTGCATTTGTATGAGACATCTGAATGTGTGTGTGTGTGTGCGGAGCCTGAGGGGCAGCGAAAATGAAAGGCTAACAAACAGCTTGAGAGCAATGCAGATTCTTTAGTGGCTGGCCGGCCTTCTCGTGTGAATGCATGTGTGTGATGTGGGTGTATGGATGTTGGGTGTGGGGACTCAAAGACACTATACATCAGTGCACCATGCTGCTTTCACAATGAACTGCATGTGGAAGCAGCCTTAAACTTGAAAAACATACTGTACGTGCTTAACAGCCAAACTTTTAAACTTTATTGTTATTTAGGGTTCAAAAGAAGGCAATTCACATTGGCAACAGGCAACTGATTAGAGATTATAATATTCATCAAAAGAGGAAATTAAGACTGCTCTCTGGACATCAAACTTACAAATAACTAGCACTAAAGGACGGCGCCTTTAATCAAACATCTATCTTTTTTGTTGCCCTGAAAGTTTTCTTAAATTCATGTTTAACGTTTCATTCTCTTTGAGGATCTGCAGAAAACATGAGCGATATTTAATGATTGATTATGTTAAATAAAAGGTGCATCTGCCAACGTAGCCTCTGTGGTGGCAGCACTGGCTGCACAATATCCTGCAGTAATGATGTTTTATAATAAACCTGACTTATATCATTTAAAGGGGCATTAAGATATCTAAAGCTATTGAACGAACAGTTCACTTACAGTGGCATTTAATTGACATGAATAACAGAATCACATTTTCACAGTAGAGATAAGTAAGCCAGCTAATTAGAGTGGAGTTTGAGGTAATCACACTGCAAAATACAGTGATGACAATAATACTGCTTTTTCATTTTCATATCTTTGAGAAATGCACTGCGGAGGGATGATGTGTGTGCTGGAAAATTGCTTTTTGAAAGAAAAAAAAGAAAATATTAAGTCTGAAATCTTGGCACACAAGTAATTGAGTTATTTGTGATAATAAACAACTCTTCAGCCCTCTCTTTCCTCTGCTTACTTTTCTTGTGCCCACTGAAAATTACAGTATGCACTTTAAACAGAGTAAACAAATAAGCATGGAGACTTGACAATGCCCTACAAACAAACATTTCAGAAACAAACAAGTTCAAATAGGGTGTGTCCTTTTTCTTTAGTCGAGTCTATTTCAGTGCGGCTCCCCATTAACCCATTTTAAGAAAAAGCTGTGATCGTGCATTGTGCTCGAAGAAAATACAAATCAAAGATGTTCAAATGCTTTCTTCATGGATTGTATCTGTGCCAAGGCTTTCTGCACACAGTGCAGGGCCACAGAGATAGTGTGTAGTGTGAAAAGTGAACAAAGATGGTACAAATAAATAAATGTTGTTTTTTTCATTTTAGCTACCACAATAAGCCAAATGAATCAGGGCTGCAACTAAGGGTTATTTTCATTATCTATTAATTGACCAAATGCAAGAAAATGGTAAAAATGATTTCCAAGGCCTCAAATGTCTTGTTTTGTCCACAACCAAAGATATTTAGTTTACTGTCATAGAGGACTAAAAAAAACAGAAAATATTCACATTTGAGAAGCTGAAATCTGAGAATTTTCCTTAAAAAAATGACTCAAAACTATAAATCGTTTATCTAAATAGATGGTGATTCCCTTAATAGTTGACAAATAATCTATTACTAATCAGTGCAGCTTAAAAACAAAAATTAATAATAATAAAAAAAACATACAACGGATTGTCTCTGGAAATAATGTGGATCTGTATCAGAGGCATTAATATTTATTGGATTTGGCTACACCTCTCGTCTGTGTGTGTTTGTGGTTAAGTGTGACGCAATCCGGCCGGCCTGTTCCGGATCCTTCCGTCACAGCCTTGTGCTGACCTCCACTGTGGAGCCCAGGGGAACCTTCACAACAGATTTGGCATCTCATTTTCAGTGCAGCAATGGCCGTCCCCTCCTATCTGTCAGCACAGTGCCCTCGTCTTTCTAGATCACATCTCTTCACCCTCCTCCTCTTCTCTCCCTATCTTCCCCTATCTCCCTAAATCTCCCTTTGCCTCTGTTTGAGAAAAAAAACCCAAACAGGTCAAATCTTCTCTATCTCTTCGTCTTCTTTGTTGCTGTGCGTATATCAGTGTTTCTGCCCCTGAGAGCTAAATCTATGCATAAGGGAAAAAAAGGAGAAAAAAAACTCCCCATGCCTCATTAAAATCCAACAGTGGCCTGTAGAGTAGATACAATGAGGGCACAATGGTCTATTAATCCACATCCACTCAAGTCCAGTGACATATTTCTCAACTCAGCCTTCACCGAGCAATTACAGAACAAATTGCTACATTTATCTCTCAATTTTACCATATAATACTTTCATTTAAAACTGTGATACGCCCAGAAAAATTGCTTTATATTGAAAGAGCTGCACTGAATTTTTTTATATATATTTTTTTTTACATTTTGAATCTGACATCAAAACGTAGTAAATTGTTCGATCAGTGCAAATTACAGTAAACAATTCAGCATTCTAGTTGTTTTCCTTCCATGCTCGTATTTAAACTACATAATTTCTGCACAACCAACTTTCATGTCATTACTCAAAGCAGATCAAACCCGGGGTTATTTGCCGATTCCCGGAGGCCCTGGAAACATGTTTGTATCTCTTTTTGCTCGTGTATTTGCAGTGATAGTCTCTGAGGCACAAACACTGATGTCAGCCCTGCGGTATGCTGGCCTAATCCACTGCTCCTACTCCAGCTTTCAGTTCCAGCCCTCCGCTCTGTCAGGGACAAACCGCTGCCTTCTGTGCCCTCCAGAGAACACAACAGCACTGACACAATGGCGCTTTCTTACCCCTCTACCTGCATGCTGGTCCTCAGACTTTAAAGCAAAACCCCAAAAGCAAATCTAACCCTGTTCTGTTTGCGTTTATCTCTCAGTATCTGTGACCATCAGGCAGATAGGGGTGTGTGTTGCAAACGTAATAGAGCCATTGTGCTCTGCCTCGGGTCCAAGTCTTATCTTCATTACACGTTTTATACACAAACAAATAAACGGAGACACATTTCTGGAGAGGATGAAGAAAGTTGGTGTGTTTTTACCTTAGAAGATTACTTTCTTGTATATATATATTATATTCCATAAAAACAAATATTGGAAAAGAGCAAACTCAATTTGACCAGGCCATTCTATAACTTGTCTTCCTGTGCTTTACTAAGTCCTCCACAAAAGCACATTTTTTTTCCAGTCAGAAACCCAGTGTGAGAGAAACAACACGTAGCCATTCTGTCTTGTCTTCTGAGCCTTAAGGGGGTTTGTTAGGGTTTAGTCAGACTCACAGTTTCCACTGGTAGATCGTGACAGGGGGGTTAGCATCAGCCCTGCAGGTCAGCTGAACATTCTGCCGGTTCAGGTACCAGTTTCCATCAAAGCCCTCGATCTTCACCTCGGGTTCATCTGCAAGGAAGGGCACGCTTGAGTCAGTTCATCCCTCCACAACATATTTAAGTATTATAAAACACTGTTGTTTCATTGCACCTCTGTTAAAGCTAGTTAACTATTGCTAAAAAACAATCTGCACACTTTCAACAGTTGCATCTATGCTACTCTTTTACATTACTGTAGACAGACTTAAAGGACCAGTGTGTAGGATTTAGTGACATCTAGAGGTGAATACTGCTCGCCTACCATGCGAGTAGGAAAAAACTACAGGGGCCGTGAAACTCGCGAAAAGGTCGTATCTAGAGCCAGTCTGTATGGGCTACAGTCAAAATACGCCGGTTCAACATGTTACTCCGTAAAAGACCCGCTCCCTCTGTAGATAACACTGGCTCATTCTAAGATAACTGAAACACAATCATTCTTAATTTCAAATAAAACATACCTAGTAATATTGTATTACATTTCTGCCAAATGATCCTCCTAAATGTTACACACTGGACCTTTAAATAAAGTTTTAATCCAAACAAAAACACAATATAATGGTATAATCCAGCACACACCTGAAAGACAGGTACACAGGAGAATGAAATCTAACAAAAAAACAGTGAACAAACTTTCTGTTTCTTTCTTCAAAGTTTTAGTTTTTAAGGTTTGAATTTAGTGATGTTTGTTTCCAATTATTTAATTTAAAAATAAGTGAAAATCGGAAAACCAGACTCCCACTAAGAAAAATCGTTGTGGGAGTCTGGTGCATAGTCAGCAGCTCATTTGTTTTTAGTTGTCTTGGTTTTCTATAACCGGAAAAGTTTCTAAACTGTTTTTGCAAGAGGGACTATGGTGATCGGTTTACTCTTGCTCCTGCAGCAGTAAACTTTTGGCTGCATGAGAACATGAAAAGTAAAAATAAGTTCTCATTTGAAAAGAAAAATTGCAAGAATAAAAAAAGAGCCTTAATATGGGAGCTGTAAGGGGTCAGATGCTTACACTGCACGTTGAGCACCACGCTGTCTGCGATCCTCTCGTTTCGGTACATCACGATACATGTAAGCTTCTGTTTGTGGGTCTCACGGCTCGGTATCACCACATAGTTGCTCCGTACTGTCACCGTCCCATTTAGGTTGCGGGTCTGCTGGGAAGTGGCTTCGCCCTTCAACCTGGTTTCCCATTTGATTTCACTTGGGGGCTTCCCATTGGCTGATACACAAGTGGCAACAGTCATCTTGCGTTTCTGGGCCCTGGCCACAATCGTGGGCGTTGTCAAGGTCATACGTGTCATAGGCCGAGCTGCAAAGAAGAAAGGATAAAGCAATCAAATTACTGAAATGTAAGTAATTAAAGCTCATTAAACAGAGATCTTGTGTTTTCTCTTTCAGTTTCCAATCCTCATTTTGGTGTCTAATTTTGTCTGCTTCACCTTCAATCAGCTTTGAAGTAAATTAAACTAAGGGGATGAGAGATGAAAACAGTGTCGCAACTCAAATCAGGCAAAGTTTTTCTTCTTTCCCTCCTCAAAGCCTAAGCAGTTGTCGAAGCTCTCACAGATGTAGAACCCACTTGCCTACCCAAATGCACTGTCATCCAATTTGAATCCTTTGTGAGTTGCCAATTAGCAATCTACTCGTAGTACATCAAAAGGCAGGCTTGAGCGTGAGCGAATGCACAACAGAGAGAGATTGGCCGTGAAGAGGCCTCTTTGAACGCTGCCGGTTGGTTATCTGCACACAGGTTCCTGACGTTCACTGAGCCGCAGAAGCCTAAAAAGACCTTGGAGGCTCAGTGACACAAAATGGAGACTCGGCTGACAAGAAACTCTGGCAACAGGGACTACTTAAGCCAAGTGCTTTTTCTTTTACTGGGACTTAATGGAAAACACACCAACACTTAATTTCTAATTAGATCTTTAATCAGAGTCAGCGCACAACCTTTTCAAAGCTGCCTCTTTCTAAGATAAACTATATCTCAGGCACTCCTTTTTCTCCCACACAAGATTAGATTATTCAAGCCAAATTACACAGTCTGAAGTGGCCTTATTGATTTCCGTCTCACCTGCCATTTTTATTGACTGCTCTCTGCAGCACTTTCCTTTCATAAAAGCCATATGGGCCCAATCTGGGATTGGTGTTAAACGACACGTCACCCCAATCATCACATCAAGTCTTAGTCAAAATGATTTTCACTTCAACGCTGAACATGTATCCTCAACGACAAGGTCCTTTGCAGACATAGCCGTGATGTGATGGTTGGCACTGCCATTCACCAATCACAGACTGGGAGGTTTAACTGTAAACAGTGCGGTTAGAGCACCGGCTTTGGCAAACAGAGAAAGAGCATCTGGTTTGAAGTGCTCCAAACGAACTCAGCCTACTTTACAACAGAGCCTGTGGCAATGTAACGTAGAAGAGCAGAGCTGTAAGTGTTTCTTTTAGCCTTTCACTAAAAAGGAGGATATCAGTTTGACCCTGTGTTATCTGATTCAGAAAAATGCTCTTTGTCTCTTTCTTTTTCTCAAACAGAACCAAATTTAGGAGAATAAAGACTACTCATCAGGCTAGCAATAACATGTTCGAGGGAATAACTCCTTTACTCATTTTAAGATGTAGAACTTCTTCTTTGCTCTATACATACTCAATCCCCTGAAATAATAACACAACAGAACACAGATTAGATTACTAAGATTTACATCTGTAGAGGGGCCTTTGTCTTTGCTTAAATTCACATGACTGATGCTGGGTATTCAAACAGGATTAAAATGACACATAATCTATAAATCTTTAATATCTCTGTACAAGTTCTTACCATACACAGTGAGGTTGACCATGTTCTCCCGGTTGCCTGCAGGAAATGTGGTATACTCGCAGATGTAGGCAGCTTCATCAGACAGCTGCAGACTGGAGAACACGATGGTGGTGTCCTCCAGGGAGGGCGTACGATGGCGAACCGCTGCCTGCTTGAAGCTGACCCGCTCCTTGAAGGGCGGCAGAACGGACACGCCGAGGGCCGGGTTGGCTATGGCCACGTTCTGTTTGGTGCCGTTGAGGAGCTTCTGCCAGGTCACTTGAGAGATCTTGACTGGCGGGTTACTGTTGATGAAAATGCAGCGCAGTTCCACTTGTGAACCCACATAGCCAGATTTACTGGAGTCCATCTGTACCATCTGTCCGTCGCCACCTAGATGTTACAGAGACGGACAAAGAGAGAGAGAAAAGCAATTAATTACGATTAACAAGTGTCCAAGGCCAAGCAAAGCACTCCAGTCAATAGCAAGTACATGCACTGAAAGTCAAGGAGTCAATTCAGCCTCCTAGGTAGTACATGCACGCACAGCACTCGCAGTCAAACTCATGGATTCAGCCACACAGTCTACCGGTGCTACAGAGGCAACGTCTGCTCCCTATACATCAGTGTAAAGAGTTGGTACATGGTGGTGGTTGTGTGTAAAAGCTGGGGGAGTTATTAACATAATGGGCACATCTATACAACCCTGTCTTTGTCCACGAGGGTACTGTTTCTGATGAGATGGAAGGACTGAGCGAGAACCAATGCATCACTAATGAATGAGTACACGGGCAGTGAGTTGGAGCCAAGTCATCGTCTGCTGTGCTCCCCTCTACCTTCCCAGCAACACACTGGCTAACCCATTGTAGTTTTAATTACTTTTTACTCACAAATACTTCAATGACTGCCCGGAGCTCCTATTAAAAGAAACAATGTAGTCCGGTGTAAGCACTCAAAACAATGAGAACACACACATTAGCTATATAAAAAAAAACAGCAATTATGCCCCTCTCCCCTAGGCTACTATCTAAGCCTGTGAGGAGTTTGGTAGCAAAAAAAAGGTCAATTAGCAAGGACAGACCTTCTGTAAACCTGCCTGTGGTGGTGTCTACACATACTGGCGTTAGCTGTCCCTTCTAGCCCACTTCTATCTAATGGTGGATTAAGTGATTGACAAAGAAACTCAATTGACAACAATTTCTGTGATCAATTAATCACTTAAAGTCGTTTATTAAGCAAATATGCCACACAGTGGCTACTTACAGCTTCTCCAAATTGTGGATTTGTGGCTTTTTATATGTTATATGTTTAGATCATTGTAAACTGAATATTTAAGGTTTTGGTGTATTCCTCAGATAATACAATCTATCCAGACTGACTCACTATTCACTCTTCACTATGTGACATTTTATAGACTAAAGAAAAAAATAGTCAACAGAATAATCAGCATTGAAAATAATTGTTGCAGCTCTTTTTTATCCACAACACTTCCTGCTCTCGTCCTTTCATTGTTCCTTCAATCTGAGTCTTGAGAAAAACAACTACAGCATTCATTTACACCTGGTCTGGGCTCTGAATTGACTGCAGTCTGAACAGATGTGTCATTGAACTGCTGCAGGGCTCCTGCATCCTGTTGTCTTTGACACATCTTTGTTATCTCAAGCTCTGATTTATGTTCCTTTCCAGGTGAAGTCTGATGATGTCCCATTTCCTGGTCCGACAACCCCTGGCTGGGCTTGTATTTACAACCAGGCGCAGCTATAATTATCTCCTATGGATAGGTGAGGACCCACAGGAGGAAAGACTGAAATTCCTCCGTTAATCACACCAAACTCATAAAGCCACCAGTGAATCAAGTCATAAACAGAGAGAAAATATGTTGTGGCCTCAAGTGGAGGACTGGGGCATACACACATGCGCCACAAAGAGAGAGGCTCTTTAACACTGAGTAACTGCATCAAAATGATGGATAATCGCTGCGTTCAGAGATAAAGTTTCCACAGGGGGCATTAAAATGTGTAAGAATACGTGGGAGAGATCCATTTGTGTATACACTCACTGAATACAATATCTGATGCAGTCCAACCTCAACTATACAGGAATCTGAAGCAGAGAGGAGGAGGGAGTTATGTGCGTGCAGGCTGTCAAACTGTCTAAGCAACTACTGTTTTTCTTAAAAACTGTAGGTAGTCAGCCGAAGGACACCAGGGCACAATACATGCATGAAGAGAGGAAATAGTTGCTGCAGACTTTGGCTAGAACACCATTAAAATGAACAATGTACTTCTTTCCATCTTTCATGGCGGGCGCACAACTCTCAGGTTGAATGGCTTATGCTGGAAAGCAGCGCATTACGAGAGAAAGGCAATTTCTATCCATTGTTATATTCTTTCACTCAAGTACAGCCTTCGCTGCCTACATCAAATCATATAAAAAAACAAAGTGACAACCTTTTGAAGTTACTGAGTGCACATCATCTTTCATTTCCTTCTGGCCACATCAGCAAGACTCTCTCTATAGAGATTTAAACTTGGGGGATTTGACGATGACAGATTGATTTACTAATACAGTTTGACAGGGAGGACTGGCAACCTTGTCATCTGTACCTTGAGAAACACCTGTGTCCTTGTGTACCTCAGGGCAGTGCTTTACTCCATTTTATCACAGCTTAGATTACCAGTTGCGGCAGCTATAGTATGATATTTTTTGAAATAGCAAACACAATTTACTGTGTGACAACACTAGTTAAAGTTTAATCTTAAGTTGGAGTGAAGCAGGGGGGCTGTGTGTGCAGGGGGGCTGTAAAAACTCATAAATATGTACCGGGCCAGACCTCACCCACTTGAATGCTAAAACAATACTGGCAGGGGCTGGCTGTATGAAAAGCTGCAGCCCCTCCCTCCCTTGCTCTGCCCTTCCTCCTTTGAGTCTGATGCTCCCCACTCAGATTGAACCAAATAAACAGCAACTCACGCAAATGGAAACCAGAGGAATAGGCATAATTACACAGCCACAGAGCCCAAATCCCCTCCGTGAAGGACCAGGGGCGCCCACGGGGACCCCTTTCACTCAAGGACTGGATAAGTCCTTGGCTGAGCACACAGTATAGAGCTGTAATTACAGACTACACCACAGAGCGGCAAAGCCATGGAAGAGCAGAGCCTCATACATGCAAGAGGCACTAAGAAGGTAGATTTTGTGGGGGTTATGAAAGCCAGTGGTGCAGAAACAGGGGAGGAAAACAGGGGAAGAAAAAAAGAAGGCAAAGTAGTGGAGATGCAGAACTGGCGAGAGAGAGAGAGGGAGACAAAGAGGAAGGCGGAGCTTTAGGGAGATTTGTAGGTGTGCTGCGGGTTTGAGGCTGGCCGGCGTTGTTGCCTGTGCTGCTGCTGCTTTGTTCTCACGCTGACAAGAGGGTGACTGGGGGGACAGTCATGCTCTAATACACCTGAGGCTAGACACTGCCTTGAGAGTTGCCAGTAAAGAGAGGAGCCCTATTTCTGGAAGGAAAAGCAAATAGGACAAACAAACAAAAGCAGAAAGTATACCCAAGCTGGCAGAATATAAAAAAAAAGAAGAGTGGTTTGATTCACACCAGGTGAGCTGACTTGGATCAGGGGGGACATAAGGGGCACTATTAAAACAGCTGCTGTACCGTCTGGCCCTGCACTGATAGCAAGAGACTCACAAGGCCTCGGCACAGAGCACTGCACAGAACATTCGACTGTAATAAGATCTGGCCCGTCAGGCAGCAAGGAAAAGCATGTGCTTTGTGTTGTTTGCATATGGAGCATTGGACAATGTGTGAGGCATGCTGCACCAACTAACAGCCTTCAGTCAAATGGTCTTCCTATGGGGTGTGGACAATATCCAGGAAAATACAGACCTGCAGAACAGTCTTCACAGCAAAAAGATCTGATCACAAATGCTGAAGGGTGTGTTTACAGTAAATCAATCAGATCTTATTACCCACGTGGGAGAACAAACACAAGTATGAAAAACATTCCTTTCTGTAACAAATGAAAAATGAATGAGTAACATGACATTAACATTTAATATTTTTTTTGTCTCTGCTGCAGAGAAAAAAAAATCAAATTAAAGTTTCAACACCAAATATACTACATTCATACATCTGTTTGTTCCCAGATATTCTTCAGTGCAATGTAAAACCAGACCTTGCTCTACATATAAAACAATAACAACACCATAAAACCCTGAATTGAAAACCAGGGCGCCATCCCCTAAAGCTTAGGAAGCTTCTTTTCCATAAAACAACTGCTATTTGGCAGCTCATCTCGCAATGGATATGTAAAACTATTGTCTTTCTTTTCTTAGCTGAACTGGCCAACAACCAACAATATTTCAAAAGACAATTATTGGCTCATTTACCATTACTTGGGCCATGCTCATCCAAGAGAAATCCATTTGTGCCTGAGTCAAATAAAGTTCAGAATAATTCACCTCTAGCTGCTGCAATGCGAGGAAGGCAAAGATTAAATAGGACTCAATGCATATTTTAGAAGAGGGACTCATTAATGTCTTCTATTTAAAGCTGCACCAGGCAACTTGGCACACTGTCAGTCCCAAATGGCAGTGAGACGTCGCTGTTTGAAGTTTGGAAACTTCAGAACCCAGAAAATGTTTAATGTGATGTCATTAAACTGCACTCCTCTAAATGTCGTCTGCTCAGTGGCTTTTAGGGGTGGAGAGAGTGAACGGTTTCCATTTTCACCGGACTGGGCACTCACTTGTCACTTCCTGATGACAGGGAAGATTTCCTGCTTCTGTCCAACCCCAACGTTAACATTTAATCTAGGCAAATAGGTCAAATCTATGACATCTCTCAGCTTGTAGAGCTCACTTACACAGGCATATTTTGGTATAAACTTTGTGCCAAATGCAGCTTTAAAGCTTATCACATGAAGACACATCATCTCCTCATGCTGGAGACGCTTTGGTTGCTCCATTGTTACTTAAGTGGGATGCTGATAGATAAAACATGGCTTGAGCCACTCAGGATAATGACTGTTTAATGTTGTCCCAGTTCCCACGGCAATGGCACAGGCCTCTATCCTCCCCTATTCATGACCACACATGGGGTGTTTAGGGGGAGTCCAAATCTTCTGTCTCACAATGCACAAAACCCACCCATTAGTTGCTTGTTTATTCCCCCTTTTATGTCAGTAGTATTTTGGAGCTCAACCAGTGGCGTTGTGCTTATGTAATCAACAGATAGAAGTGCTTTTCAAAATGCTTTATAAAATAAATGATGGCATTACTCTTAGGGATAACTGAGAGCTATCTCACTCTGCTGGGGGCTTAAATACAGATAGGGCAATTCATTTAGCAGAACAGGCATATTTTATGTTTAATGCTGGCTTTTTGTTGACG